ACTGGCATTTTGCATCCCAGGCCCCTTCCCAAATCTGCCCCCTGGTTGTTGAGAGAGAACATTTGGAAGCACCTGCGAAAAATGAAATATACTAACCATTCAAACATCCAGGGGCACAGCTAGTTCTAAAGAAAACTCTCAACACAGCAACTTCAGGCTGCCACCCAATGTCCACAATGCATAAATACCACAGTAATTGGCAGCCTACAACCTCCTTTCCACCCACCTGCCAAGCTAAATGAAGTTTAAACAAAACTTCCCCAATGCTCATGGTCTGGTACTAGACAGCACTGGTGGATGACCTCTCGCTGTCCATAGGCAACATCCATATTTTCATATTCATCTTTGGACTCAGCCGTCATAAGCCACAAAACTTCTTATGAAGGGGATCAGGCGAGAGATTACCAACAGCAGAGCCAGCAGTACTTACATGACACCCAATGCTGCATTATACCCAGAGCATTCTTGGGGCCCAGTGAAGGTCAACACCTGGAGGAAGCTGAATCTAAGAAAGGTGGAAGCTAATTAAAGAACTGATCTCTGTCCCTAACAGACCCCTCTGTTGACAGTAGTTGCTTGCTGTTCTGGGGCTCAACTGGACTTATGAAATGACAGAATGGCCACATTCCCCCCCCCCCCATGCCTGACAAGAACACTATGCTCAGCTGGCGGTAGTGAGATGTTGGGCTGAGCATTGCAAACAAGCGACTGTCTTAAATCCTAGGCAACATTGACTGATGGAGAATGCAACAGCTTATTGACAAGCCACAATAGAGTGGTACAAGCACAACTTCCTAAAAGGGGACTCCCACTGAAGCAGAAGTTCAGTGCAGAAGCAGCTTCAATAAGAGTTGCTGACTGCTTAGCACATTTAGGAAAAAAATCAGCCTATTTATTTAGAAGCCTAATTCTAGTCTATTTAAAAAACAAATCTTGATCCAAGTTACAGAGAAGCAAGGTGCTCAGGTGTGTGGCCAGCTATATGAATTGAGACTGCACCACTGCTGCCCGTGCCCAGAATGCTCCATTAATCAAACACTCATATGCACTAAACCTCCATCAGACCACATTCTAACTGAAATCGTACTTAAGGTCATTCCATTATTGGTTAGATCAGGGTTTCCCAGCCTATGGGTCGGGACCCAAATATGCATCGCCATTACATTTTAAAAGGGTCACGAAGTGTCTCCCCAGGTGGCCCTGCCCTCCCCCCGTTTTTGAATTGCCTTGGGTCAACAAGTCTTCCTGAAATGTCAAAATGGGTCCACATCTGGAAAAGGTTGGGAACCGCTGGGGTAGATTATGTGTTCTGGCATATCAAGTCCTGGCTCTGTGTGTAAGTGAATTATAATCTTTACTGTCACTTTTGCTTACCTCTGCCATAACCACTGAGCCATCAGATATAATTCTTGATGTTCAAGGAGCAGTTTACATTCTGGTTTCATGAAAGCTAAATGAAGAAATATCAGAATAGTTTCTCCTGTTCCCCCCACTGCCTCGTTTCCCCTTGCTGTTTTTAGAAAGGAAAATAAAAGTGTCAATCATAAAAGTTCTGACTATAAATCACTTTTATCTAACTACAGAAACTTGTTCAGGTCTTACACTGGCAATTCATAAAAGCGATTTGCTGACAGCAGGGATGACACTTCATCTTCAGATCATCTATAAAAAAGAATTTGCCCTCTACACCCCTGTGAGGCAAGTATTAAATCAATTATGCAGATAAGGTAAATGAAGCTAGTTCTTGGTATCTATGCCAGCACATGAATTCAGGAACTTCCGGCTCTGAGTTCCGTGACAGAAGATTCATTTTTTGTGCCTCAAAATGATTTCCAGGCCAGCAGATTTTTGAAAGGTCAATTCTCTTTGGTATCTGCAGTGTTCAAAGCTGAATGCATTTCACAAAAGTTAGGACAAACACTATTCTTTTTTGCCCCTTCCTTCTCCCCCAAACAGAGAAATGGATGCAATACACTTGGCAGGTTTACTCAAGTTACAATTAGGGATGTGATAGTATATTCATTTAAAGGATTAACTTTCACAGTTACACGCAAGGCAGTGGGAGCCCTTTTGTAATCTCCCCTAGAACACCAGCTCCTGAGCTGCCTGCCCCCCCTCACTCTACCCCTGCACTGCTGCACCTCTCATACACGGGAGGTGGGGGGAGAAGCAGGCTACTCCCCCCACACACACTGGCTTCTGTGGCACCACCTCCCTCCACATAAATGTGTAACGGCTGAAAATTTCAGCCGTTACACGTTTACAAAAAACGCTTTAACTCCTCGTTACAACACATGATCACATATTGCAGCTGGGCATATTTGTGGCACCTAACTTACATGACCATCTCAAATTTGGCTTCAAAAATGTATAGGACATTAAAACAAACTTCTACAAAACTTAGGACACATTTAACACCTCCTTAGTGTTTGCAATTAGATTGAGTGTTCATTTTAATAACCATTTTATTACTTAGGTAAACAAAAATGATGGAATTTTTAACAACTGCCAAACACTGACTTTGCAATGAATTAAAATTTGGGGAAATTCTTTAACCTCTATCTACGTAGAAACTAAAGTTCTGAACTTTAGTCACTGGATAGAAGGGTTTCTAATGTTGGAAAATTAAGTGTAATATAGTAATTATAAGAAAATTAAATTCAAGCTTTATTTGCCCTCTCCAACGATTTACCAAGAAAAAAGGCAAAATGAGAAAAGAGGAAGCTTTCAGTCCCATCTCAAGGTGGACAGCTTCAACATCTTCTTAGTGTTCTACTGCAGTGGACCTGCTGCACCAGAGGCTTGGGCATCTCTAGAGATGCCAAGCAATACGGACGTCAGGGCAGGCAATGAGTAGAGCTGCAGGCTGCCTCTAAAATAATCAGGGCCCAGCATGTTTAAAGGCTTGACGATAAATGGCATGATTTTTATTCAATATACTTGTTATTGCTGCTGGCAGAGAGCAATCACTTCAACAATGCCTACTGGAAATTGATTACTGTAAGAGCTATGCTATCATTTCATAAGAGCTTGAATTGAAGTACAACACGGTACAGAAACAGCAGATTCAGATCCCTTCAAAATGGAGAGCACAAGAGAACTCCCTTTCTTCACAGGGACCATTGTCTTCACTCTTCCTTTTTAATCCTAAGGGGGCATACTGAGGAGAGGCATCAAATCTAGCCAAGTGGTAGCAATCACTTTTTGGCATGCTCTTAGATCATGCATATTTTTAACACACATTCATCTCATGCCTTCTAGTTCTGGAGAGTTTCTGAAGGCAATATATAGGGTTAAATTGTGTACTCTTATGCTGAATGATAGATCACTAAAATTAGAGGAAGAGTATCCCAATGGTTAGAGCAGTAGCCTAGGATTTAGAAGGCCTGAATCCAATAGCCTCAAGACTCCTGTGACACTCAGTAAGTAGCCTAATTGCTCTGTACCTTAGCTCCCCATGTGTCAAATAAGGACAACGCTTCCCTACTAGTTACGGATGTTATGAAGATAAATGCATTAAATGTTCGAGAAATGCTCAAATACTATGGTAATGGGAGCTATGAACTCCTAATACAGATCAGACTTGAAGAGCAAGTTATGCTTAAAATGAGGGTGAGCAACAGAATCTGACAGAGTAAATAGAACAGATACCATGCTTTAGACCTCAACACTAGAGCCCTGTGCGGATACTAAATTTTATATCTGCATCTGTAGCTGCAAAAATGAGCTACAGATATCTGCATTCATATCCATGGATGTTGATACTCATGGCTTTGCAAGGGCTCTATTCAACACATACATATTCAGTTAACAGCAAATGCAATGCACCTGATAAAATTTCTACCTGCAACTTGAAATCAGCATGGAACTCACTGTTGAAATAATGAAAGTAAAACACTACTTAACATACATATGCAGCAGAAGAGAATTATTCTTACATGTTTGATCTAAAGAAAAATAAAAGTAAAAAAATGTGCTTGTAACAGAAATTTTGGCTATTTGCTTTCAAATGTTATCAGTCTTAGGACTAAGTTTTCGTAAGTTTGGTCAATCATTGCTACTTTTTAAATACTATGTGTAAAATTAGTAAAGAAAGAGAAGCAAAAAGATTCTCTTCATGTGAAGTCATCTAAACTTACAGAGTGAAGACATTTGAAAAAACATTCACTTACAAAGCACTTACATAAAATCAACCCAATTTTTAAGAAAGGAAAAGGGAAATATAGTCTCACAAAATCTACTTGAAATGAGAATCATGAAGACAGCAAAATCAGAAAACATTCAAGTTAATGGAAACAAGTCTTTATTAAGTAACTTTTAATATCAGAAAAATAAAACTCTTATAATTCTCTTTACAGCAAATATATAATATCAGTGCTTTGGCCATCATAAGTTAAAGGCCCTTTATCATAAAATATATGGTTTTTAAACTTTACTCAAATTGAATTCATAATCCCTATGACCTCCCTACATATACATAACAAAAAGAGTGTAGTAAAATTAGCAAATACTAAACTATATTGATAGTTTATCATTGTTAGTTTGTGGTTTATAGAAAGGGTACACGCACCTAATATCTGTCGATTCCTTGGCTTATTAGTTGCAGTGTACAATGCAATAAAATACAAAATACATGCTTGGTGAACATTTGTTCATATCTACAAGACTGCATCTAAAGATTCGGTTTCAATACTGACATTTAACTATTCTACAAGCAATTAGCATTAAAGTTATGCATTACATAATAATATGCCATCAAGGCAACTCTTATACTGAAAAATCATAAAATAAAAACCATTATTTGTAAACTTTTATACGAAATGTAACTCTTCAAGTGGAAATAAAAAATAAAATTTCTGTATATTTACTAGTTCAATACATAGAATTTGTTTTGCTATACTGAGGAAAAGTTTGTGTGTCTTGGGAAAATAATGCTTTAAAAAAATAGAAAATTCCATTAT